CCCCAAAACCCCAAAACCCCAAAACCCCAAAACCCCAAAACCCCTTTAGCGTTAAAAATAATAGAATTAATTAAATTATGAAAAGGGGGAAAAAGACCGGGATAAGGTATTTTCACGACTTGTTATCCAAGGAACCATACTCGCTTTCTAAATGCCAATAGAGTACATAGACTTATTTATACCATAACTCGCATTATTTTCCAATCAAATTTACTTAGGTTCCTCCATTTTCAGAATTTTCCCTCTCAAAATTCTGATTTTTTATTGGAACTCTTTCACATGTAATTTTTAGTAGGAAAAGGAGAGCGAGTAAAGATATTGCAGAGCCTGATAAGTCCAGAACTGGGAAAAGGAGAAAGGCAGAACCAAAGAACAGAGGCAGATCAAGAGAAGAGTAAACCCTCTCTTAATCTTTATAGCTCTTCTTCTAGCAGAATGGTAGATCTTGATAAAGTTAGAAGTAAGCTTCCGGGTTTTATTCATTTAGAAGGCAAAAAGTTGAAGGATACATTTAAAGATCGCCAGAAGAAAGGAAACGAGATGAAAAGTAAGATTATTTACAAGGGATTTTTACATGATTTAATGCCTGTTAGGGTGAAATCTTTGTGTTTGATATCTTAAAACAAGCATTGCGAGCTTAGAACATAATAGTTTGTTGATAATGAGAGTTTTCAAAATCTTTGCTCTCATATTTTAGAAATTCTCTAGAAAATAAGGTCAAAATTTCTTCAATCATCATTCCCTCTCAAAGGCAACGTTTCTGTATTTGCTATTACTTTCTTATCAAGGTTATTCTGCCCAGCTTTGATGAGTTCTGAAATCTAACTTTCATCTATAGAACAAAACCAGAAGAAAAAGGGTTCTAAACGCTCTAAAAAGAGAGGGAAATCTGATTCAAGTAAGTCTCCTGTTCTGAAACAAAAATATGTTGACAATTATTTTATTAAGTGAATGCTTGGCATAAAGCAATTTATTTTGACTTCGCTTGATTTCAAATTACTGCCCTTACACTTTAAATGCTATCCCTACTCAAAGTATCTGAACTTAAAGTTTAAATCTGTAAAATTGTTTTGGATCGGAATTTGTTAAGCTGAAGATAAATTAGCAGGCTTAAAAATATGGCATTGGTAAATCAAGCTAGCCCACTATAAACCCAAAAGAACACCTAAGGAATGTATTTAATCTGACTTTAATCATTAGAGCCTTATCTTCGCACTATAAATATATCAAATCCTATAATCCTCTCAATCTCTAACCCCAGTTCACAATTCCGACACTTCCCCCAACTCTGGCTACTTTCCCCTAACCTCTTTCATACAAAATCCCCCTTTCCCGGACAAATTTCCCCCAAAACCTTCCTCCACTGCCCAAAAAGTGCTTAAATCTTCTCCCTTTCTTCATCCCTCCTCTATTCAAGCCACTTAAAATCCTTCTATCCATCAACCCCCAAAATTCCCCCACAAATCTAGTACCTTAAGTCCTTCTGTTCTTCCCAAATATTGCTCTTTGGGCTGGAACCAGCCTGATAATTACCCTTAAAATTTAGAAATTTAGAAGAAAATTTTAGCTTAAAGATTTCTGGTTTAGAGTAAAAGGAGATTTTAGGGGGGTTGAGAGGAAATTTTTAGGATTTTGACCCTGAAATTTGACTTTGATAGGGATTTGGTGGGTGAAATGGAGACGAATTTTTATAGGCGAGAGAGAAAGGACAAAAGTTCCTGAAGAATTTGAAGAGACCTTCAGGCCACTTAAGAATAGGAAATTTAATGATAAGATCGCAAGGCTTCTTATTAAAGAGTACAAGCTTGAGAATAGGATTGAGAAAATTGTGCTGTCTAATGAGTATCTTGAGACCGAAGGAGTTGATGGCTATGATCAACATGAGATATACACTTTTGGCGGGATCGAAATTAAGTATAAAACTGGGAAAATTTTTACATTCGTTAAAGGTCAAATCTGGAAACTTCCAAAGAAGGAAGAGCCAAATATCTCTCAAATCTTTGGTTTTGAAGTAAACATCAAAAGCAATGGGAAACTTGAGAGTGCAGCTTTTATCACAAAGAATTGATACACTATCCAGGAGCTGAGCAATAATTATCCTGCTCTCGAGAAAACTCTCTTAGCCGTAAAAAGTGATTTAAAGGCGAAGAGAAGGTCCAAAACAGCTCTGGATATGATGTTTGAGAACCATCCAATGATTTGTGACAGAGTAAGGTTTCACTTAACTTTTAGGATCTCATTGTTGAAGAAACTGGAGAGGACTACTGCACGGATTGAACATTCCTTTACTTCTCAGTCCGAGAGAGAAAAGCCATACAGTTGAATCACATAAAGCTTGACGGAAGAAAGAAGATACCTAGGGCTCTAGGGGATGATGACTATTATATTAGGCTCTGCTTCACCAAGATAAATAGTGCTAAGAAGAATGGCAACAAATATAAAATATTACTTGAAAACAACCGTCGCATCTACGACCTGAAGCCATCAAAGGGAGGCCAAAGAGCAGCCCAGAACATAAAGTCTTCTAGAAAGAGTAAGAAAAAGTACGATAAGGGTCATTACTCAGAAGAAGATGCTGCTTGTGAAGAACATTCCTCTGAATCTTACAGTGCCTGTGACGAAAAAGAAGAAAGCAAAAGTAGCATTCAAGAAGAAGACGAAGAGGTTAGCGAAGAGGTTAGCGAAGAGGTTAGTGAAGAGGTTAGCGAAGAGGTTAGCGAAGAAGGTAGCGAAGAGGAAAGTGAACAAGAAAGGGAAGAAGAGAAGAAATCTATTAAGAAATCTGCAAAGAAGAAGAAATTAAAGAAGGATGAAAGAGAGAGGAAAAAGCCTGGTCCAAAGATTGGGTCGACTAAGAAGAAGAAACCCAAAGCTCAACCCAAGAGGAAGACAAAAACTGCTCCTAAGGTGAATAGGACTAATAGGAAGCCTAAGCGTCTCACAATTGAAGAGTCTGAGGGAAATAATACTGATCCAGACGCTGATAATATGATGAAGCAAAGTAGGAATTCTGATTCTAATAGCATCTATTCGGATAATGAAATGGATGACGATGAAGAGTCTAAAGAATGTGATCAACATGAAATAGAAGAGAAGGAGAGAGAACTAGACCAAGCGATTAAAAAGAACACTAAGAAGGATCTCTTTCTTATTGAGGATACAAACGACAATGTTATTGATTCAGATTCTGAACTAGACAACAATCAAGCCATTGATATTGAAAGAACTAATAAGAAGAGTAAGAAAGTTACAAGACCAGGTATAAGGAAAGAAGGAAGATTCGGCCAATCAATCGCAAAGAATGGAATTGAAGATAGAGAAATTGTTTATACTGACCCATATGACATGCTTCTGAGTCAACTTCAACTAAACTATATTCCTGAAACTCTACCTTGCAGAGACAAAGAGAAGGAAATAATCACAGATTTCATAAAAGCTGGACTCAGGAACAGAGGATCTTCTACAAGTCTGTATATCTCAGGGATGCCTGGTACTGGTAAGACTGCAACAACTTTGGAAGTAATTAGAAACCTTAATGATGATCTTAAAAAGAAGTTTAAATTTATTCACATCAATGGAATGCAACTTAACAACTCAAGTGTGATGTATACCTTGATTTACAAAGAAATCACTGGGCAAAAGCACAAGCCAACAACTGCAGCTGTCATGCTTGATAGCTATTTTAAGAAGAGGAAGGATATGTCTGAGAAGCAACTGAGAAACCAACAAATGATCGTTTTGCTGGTAGATGAACTTGATTCCTTAGTGACTAAGAAGCAAACTCTACTGTATAATCTATTTGATTGGCCAAGCAACAAGAATTCAGGACTGATCATTCTTGCGATTGCTAATACAATGGATCTTCCTGAAAGATTTTTAGTTAAGATCAAAAGTAGAATAGGGGAATCGAGACTGGTATACCAGCCATACAATTTGGTCCAAATCCAGAAGATCATTTCTTCGAGGATTAGGAACGAGACACTCAAAAAACTACTTCATCCAAATTCATTATCAACCTTCTTCGCTCAGACTTCTATTGAGATAGTCTCTAAAAAGGTTTCTTCTCTAAGTGGAGACATCAGGAGAGCTCTCCAGGTCTGTAGAAGAGCAACAGAAATGGCTAAAGCTGACAACATCAAGAGGGAGAAAGGGCTTCTAAGCATCGATCATTTCAAGAAGGATAAAGATGAAAAGGGGAACACTATTGTAGACATCAGCATGGCTCATATTCAAAAAGCCTTCCTTGAGCTATACAATGCTAAGACCACACTTTTGCTCAAAGCATTAAGGAAGTATGAGAAATTGATTATCATTGCTATTGGAATAGAATCTCAGAGATCTACTCTTGATAAAGTAAAATTGTCAGATGTCACTCACAGAATCAATGGTATGTCAGAAAAGCTTAATTACGAAAAATTAAAGCAAGGAGAAATAATGGAAATCTTGCTGAAATTGAAGTCTTTTGGAATCATTACGATTACCAATGAAAAGCCGAATCAAATCAAGCTAGACAACATGCATATTCAGACGTTTGTCTACCCAGAAGAGCTTTCAAGTGCTTATGACGATGAATGCGATATTTATGATCAGTTCAAGGATCTATTCGATCAGGAATAATCTGTAGGGTAACATCCAGGGGGTTGCCAGCAATTTGGTTACATAATACTCAGTAAAAGTGGATAAATATTGAATCTCCTTACAACCACACTTAGGTTGAAAGGGGTTTTGGGGTTTTGGGGTTTTGGGG